TTCCTCAGAGCAAATTCGGCAGTGAAAAGTTCCGTGAAAAGTGGGAGCAATTCGGTAATCTTCGGTGAACAGTGTGTGTTCTTCGTAGGTGAATTTTCATTTCAAAAAAATTTCTCTTTTCGTTTTCACATCACATTTAGCGTCTTGTTAATTTGTTGGCTTTTTTTTAACTTCTATTTTTCAGAGCACAGGCGCAAGTCAGTATTGGTTCTCTGTTTTTTGAGGAGATGAGGTCCGTTTGGTGTGCGTATCTTATATTGGAATTTATAACTTTTTGCTGATAAACACTGTGAAAAAAATGAAGACTGTTTCGGCAAATAGTGAGATTACGAGGGGGATTGGTAACTTCGAGAATTAATGGAAGCAAGAATTATGCTAGAGATTTTGAATCAAAGCTGTGCATCACTTTGCAGAAGCGCTTTTAAAACAAGCCGAGAAAATTCTAAAAAATTTTGATACTTCGGCTGTATTTGGGTGCAATAATGTTGGACGTAGTGAGTTGCGGAAGTGTGATTTTTTTCGTCGTTTCTGAAAAAGCTAGTTGCTTTTGTATGCTGAATTTTTAATAGGATGGGACGGAAACTGGCTACAGTCAAATGGATATCGCTACATTTTATAGATTAACAGAAGCGCATCAAATCGATATGAAGAGAGTGTGACTGAATTCAGCAAAAAACAAGTAGATAAATTTAGCATTCTGAATTGCAATTAAGCAACATCCTGAGGTGGTCCGGTCGCAGTGTTGAGTTAACGCGTATATGACTTAATGGACCGAAACGTTTTATCTCACTCTTATCTCCTGTCCTATATAATATCAGGCCTTCGCCATTTTTAGATTTCCACGGTCAACCTGGTTGCTACAATCAGCATATTAAAATGTAATATGTAGGATGGACGGAGAAAAGCGAGTGGACTTGGGCAAGAGTAAGCTGGATTCGCTGTCGTGCATTCTTGTGGTGTGGTGGACAAAATCGAGACCGGCTGGGGAAGAACAGAAGTGATATTGGGACACACTAGCAACCGCGACGTGAGCGGAGCCTTTCTCGGGAGTTGTTCTGGACCGTGTAGGTATCAAACTACTTGTCTTCACGTCCGGACGCAACGTGTTAACACTGCACCACTGGTCCCCAATGCTCAGACCATATATATATGCTGCATGCCCATTTGTATTCACATACTTCTATTGCCGGCTTTTCTCGGGACTTTCGCAACAACCGCATAATTTTGATCATATTGGTAATTTAGTTGAGGCGTATTTGTGATACTTTCGGCTTAGTACGCTGAAAGAAAAGACGGAGCTTGATGTTGAAGCTGGTATTGCAACATCTGTCCGGGATTTTTGTTCTGCTCTTCGTCATGCGAGCCCTTTAATAGCGGTTTTTGGCTGGGACGACATATTACAGTCAAGGAAACGAAAGGTGAAAAAGGAATTCATTCACAGCATGTTTTATTTCCGCAAATTAAATGAACAACGAGAAATGCACATGTATTTGGCCCGTTGCCAGAAGACGGGATTCAACGGGGGATTTCATTCAAATGCCTCCTTTGTTTCATATGTGGAATTTTGAGAAACAACGGCTCAAATATTCACTCTCAAGCATGTGAAAGTCAAAAGTCAAAACCATCTCCGTATTCGCTCTTTTGGGTGAAAGCATTTCGGTAGTACCAATACAACAGCAGCAACCACCATCTAACAAGGATTGCTTATAAGCAAGCTGATAGCAGGTTTAGGTTCCGTGATACATTCCAGTATCAGTTTACCAACGAAATGAATGAACAAACTGTAGAGGGACTAATTGATTACCTTTCTTCCTTACCGCACCTCAGCAAACTTGAATTCTCAACGTAATACACGAAAAACAGCGCTTTTTCCCACTTCGCCACACCCGCCGGCGAGTATGAAAAATTACGAAAAAAAACTGGCAATAGGATAAACTGGGAGATAAAGGTGTCACATTAAAATGCTGCAGGACTTCTACGAGTTTTAAATCTTGGTGGAAAATCAATAGTAACCGTAGCTTGATCAGAACTGATTGTTTGCAGTTTTCAAATTTTCGGTAAGATTATTGGAAAATTACATATTCCAATAGATTAGGTAAGTTTGCAGTCTGTGTTTCAGTTTACATTCAGCCTTCAGACAGGTCCTTATTACATCTCCTGAACATTTTTTCACAACATATGCTTTTCACTATCTCTTTTCACATCCTCTTTTCTTGGTCTTTCCTTTCATTCATTTCATTTCATTCCTTTTGTGTCTATCGGTTTTTTTGCGTACGAGGTTACATCTGTCTAGACCTAGTTTTGGGAAGTTGAGCGGTGGATTTTGTAGCATCTTCTCTTTGCAGACCTTGCTGCCACATGTAATTATTCTTAACGATCGTTGACCCTGCTTAATCCTATCTGCGATTCATTGGAAAGAAAAATAACTCTGTGAAATAGTGCCTCAGATTCCAGAATTTGTAGTTTCTGTCAGCTTTTGGAGGATGCCTGGAACTGCTATCGTTCTGGATTTACACTTAAAATTTTCCACCTAATTTTAGAGCTGACCCCTAAAAGTGAACCCATCCTTGAGCTCAACTAGTGATCGTCACCATGCAACCAACCATCAGATGTATTCTTTGATGAATTCTCGCATGTCACTGGGTTAGTACGCAGTTCTCTCGTATCCTGATCTAATAGTGCTAGCGGAATCTGCTGATCCTCCATAACTTCTACTTCCAGAACGACCATATTCTCCACCGGATGCGGCACCTCCAGTATAGCCACTATGACCCGGTTGTTCGATGTCGTACGAAGGTTGCACTTGCGCTGCT